TGAGTATTACGTTTCATATATTCTATGTGGCATTTTGATAGGGGGAGTTTCTTTCCTATATTTGTTTTATACTTACCCATGCTTATTTGTAGAGGGAGCTTAACGCTCTCTTTCTCTCTTGCTGTTTTCCCTCATTTTGATGTTGACAAAGGGAGAGAAACAAGTTATTTGTGAGTATATTATTCTATTGGTTTTATGCATGAGGATTATAATTTGTATACTCATTTGGTATCATGCATATTCTATATACTCTTTGTGTAGATTGCATGTCATCATAAAAAAATGTGAGATTGTTAGATCTCATGTTTATGAGCCTACTATCTAATCCAGTTTTGATAATTAACAAATAATTCCTAACAATGTTTGTCGAGCGTTTATTTACTTGTTAGGTATTCTACACAAAGATCCTCAGTTGGAGGTTGGATGGACTTGCGCTTGACGATGACATTCAAAGGAGTCTGGCATATATCGGAATGAAGCAATGATGAATTCAAAGTCAAATACAAGATCAAGCTTCAGCCGCAACCAAGATGAGCTACATTGAAGACCTATATCTTGGGTATTTAGTTTTGTAGTTTTATGTTTGTATTTTGTGTATCAATACTTTTAAGCTCAATTATATACACATACACATTTCTTATTTTCACCACAATTTGGGTATTTTTAAGTAAATTTTGTATTATTGATTTATGGACAAAATAATCTTTGTATACATCTTATATATAGTCTATAAATCAATTCAAAATGTTTTTATAACTTAGTTTAAGTCATATGTCAAAATTTCATACAAACACATATTTTTGAGTTTTTACAAAATGATGAGTTTTCATAAATGAGAAATGTAATTTGAAAATTTTCTTTTGAAACATGTTCATTTTCATGTTTATAAATATTTCTCCAAGTTTTATAATTTTTGAAATTTATTTGATATTTTTAATGATGTTTCAAACTCAAAAAACTGCATTTCAAAAATCTGGAAATCCATATATCTGTTTTTGGTCAACCGCACAAGGTTCGCCGGTTGACCAACCAGAGCACATGTTTCAGCTGATTTTTCTCAAGGTGTTTCAGTCGACCGACAACTTGGGTTCGGTCGACCGATGCACATTCGGTCGACCGACCAGTGTCATTCGGTCGACCAAACAGGTAGCCGTTGGCATAACAGCTAGTTTTTCAGATTTTATTGTTTCGTGATATTTTCTTAGTTTTTGAGCCTTTGTTTCTTGATCCTATATATACCCCCATTATACCCTTTAACTTCTGAACTATTGAAGAAAAAATTTAAAACAAGTTTACAAGGGTTAAGTTTGTTTAATTGTGTTTTCCAAGTGTTTATGTGAAGAGGTTTTCACAAGAGGAAAAGGAGATCATTCTTTTCGTGTTTGGTCTTCAATTTCATTCTCTCTCACTCTTGTTTTTAGAGAAATTTTCTCTAAACTCAATTTCTAGCTTTATATATTTATATGTTGATTAACCATTTCATTAAGCTAGAATTCATATTGAGTTTAGTTTTGATTAATGTTTATTATTGTTTACACACACCCACACCCACTTGAGCTTAAGTATTTCATACATAGTATGTTGGAGTTGTGAGGTTGTAACATTGAGAGTGAGCTTCATTGAGTTCTCATCCATTGTAGAGAACAAAACTTGTATTTGAGCCTTAATTGTGAGATCACATTATAATACACAAGGAAACCGAGAGGAGTGTGTGGTGAGAGACGTGGTCGATTCCACAAGGAGTGGCGTTGATAGTAAAGCCTAGGGAGAGGTACTCCCCCTTTTTCAAAAAGCTAGATTATGCGAGCTATTTAGGCCATCAACATGAGCATTCAATTTCTCTCTTAATTTCTTCCGGTTTTTGAATCCTTCGGCAGTAAATACATCTCCACCTGATTGTTCATTTTGGCCTTTAAAAAGATAACAATTAAAGCAAAATATTGTATTTTTTTTCAACACTATACTCCAACCAATTCGGATACATATCAAACCATGCAGGATTGAATCGCCGATATTTATTATTATAAATTTTGTATGAGGAAATTCCTGCAAATGAGGTTGGAGAGGACCTTTCTGCAAATATGCCCTTCCAATGTGTTCTTGCTCATTAGGATTATGCAAGGCCGTAGTTTGGTGGAGGTTGAAAGGCATTTTCTTCCATGCTCGAATTTTGATTAGGTTTTGTTTTTCTTATCAAAAATTTTTCCATACCTATAATAAGTTTAAGAGTTATTAGAGAAAAAGATAATGACATTCACTAACTCAATAACAATATTAAAAAATAATATTGACATTCACTAACTCAATAACAATATTAAAAAATAATAATAAATTTAACGTACGACTAGCCGATTGCTTATGCAACTGCCGACTAAAAGCAATATAAAGGAAAATATTGATGCCTTTTTTTTAATTTGCAATTCAATTTCTATCGTATTCCA